CCCCCCCCCCCGGACTGAAGCGCCGGTGCAAAGAGCGAGTGCACACGCCGCAGTCGTAAGCAAGCGGTGCAAGCAACCCTCCAAAGGTAGCAGACGGACACATAACAGATAAATGGCGCCCAACGTGGGGCCCGATAATAGCCAGGAGTATGCTGATGAGTTGCTCCAACGATTTGTGGTCCCTTTTATTAGATTCCCTCTTGGAATATGTACTTGTCCTTCCGGTCTATATCACATTGTTTTATTTAGGATAATTAAAGTAATTATGTTTTGGAATTTTTAAACATTTGGCTATATGCTAGGTTTTTACCAAAGTTACTATCTTTAAAATTTTGTTAGTCTCTTTTTGTTACTTGGCTATGTTTGTAAATTGTGAGGCTGGAATGCTTTTCCCTAGGCTGCATGCCCCGAGAATTGCCCGCTTTGATGGAATATAGCCGTAGTTAACAAAAACCGATTCGATTTCACACTTTTGCTAACTTGTACTGCGACTTTCTATAAGGAATTTTAGTTATAGTATAGCTATATGCTGTCTAGCTAACCGATAGTTGGATCAATTTACTTGGTTGGAGAGTGTGCTATCTGTGTTCTCATTTCCTTTTCGAGATTTTTTTTCTTTCAAGACGCATTCTTTTTAGTTTATTTTTATTATAGTTGGAATTCATTGTACGAGTTTAGTCAATAGCCGACTTTAGGTAACGATGTTTTCTGCGAAGCTACAAATGATTGGAATGTTTATCTCGAGGAGCCTAGGATCTCGTCAGCCTATTAAGACCCCCACACAACCGGAAGACTAATCCTTATGTTTCGTATTGTTTTCTTTTGATTTCATTTACCTTTTTGATTACTATTTTAATTTTTTTGCACATTTTGTGTGATTAATCGTATTTCTTTTCACTTCTGATTGATTTTGGGTAATGTCTTTTAACTGTTTTTTTTGAGGACTTTTATACCGGTGGTATTTGACACCTTTCATTCAACTACTATTTTAAAACAAGTTAAATTATACTTAGGTATGGATTGGTACTTCTGTAGTTAGTTACTTTGTGTATTTCATTCCGAAAGTATCGCATTAAGGATCACATTAAATAAACAACGTAAACGACACCTCTGCTTGATCTGATTCGAAAGAAAACTTTTGTGCTTATCTTCATTTTTTTTTTTGCAACGATCTTCATTCCGATTTCGGTTTGCTTTTCTTTTTATCACTCACAGTTCGGGTATATTTGTGTTTTTTTATACGCGCTTGACTTAATTGCTCGGATAAAGTTCAAATTTTTACATTTTTGTTATTTTTTTTTTTTCCAAACAATTCATAATTTTTCAAAATGCCCTTGCATCGTAGTAGCGAGCATGTGCTTTCACAAGCAAAATTATGTACGATTTGCCGAGAGACTTTAGTAGAACGTGCCGATGTTTTGACAACAGCCTGCTCTCATCGGTTTCACCGTACTTGTCTCTTGGATTGGCTTAAACGAAATAATTCTTGCCCCCAATGTCGGGCCAAGTGCAGCAGTCGAGACTTGAATCAAAATACCGGTACCCGTACCAGATCCCAGACTGTAGCTCACCAAAACAAGGATAGC